AAAAACCTTAAAAAAAAAAAAAAAAAAAAAAAAAAAAGTAAAATTTTAGAATTTAGGGGTAACATAACAGAGTTTTTAAAATTCAAACTGAATTTCCTGTAGCCACTGTTACTATTCATCTAGCCAACATTTCTAGAATATTAAATATATAGGCTTACCAATGTCTTCTAAACATGACTTGCATTAAGATCTGCTTCTTTTCTGCTTCCGCAATGACTCCTAGCAGGAGCTATGGCAACCTAAGTGTCTCCTGAAGGCTTAGTCCCAGGTCTTTGTTCTTATCCCCAGTCTGTCCATCAGACTAATCATCAGTTCTTGGACTACAATTATTGTCATGAATATGATGGTTCTTCAGGTTATGTCCCAGCTACATAAACTTCATGTCCCATATCTACAAATCTCCAAGGAAGATTTCTACACAGATGTCCTAATTTCACCCCAAACTCAGGCAAACTCATCATTTTCTCCCTTTTTCTCTCAAACCTGTTCTCTCTCTCACAATTCTGACAATAATGCGAGCATTTTTATCAGTCACTCATGCTTGGAAACATACAGTATGCTTTGAATCACTTTCCTTTTTTCCATGGGATTTAACTCAATTTAAAAAATCCAGTTGAGGTTTCTTTTGAAACATCTTGTATAACTATCCATCCCATTCCATTTCCATTGCTGCTCAGCTCAGACCTTCATCACCGTATACTTTGCTTTGTAGTAGCCTTCACCTGGCCTTTCCTCTTCCAGCTCTCCCTCAGGCTGAGTATCTGTTCGGCACACTGTCAGGGAACCCACTCCAAAGTCTTTTACTCGCTTCTGCTTTCTTCTGCATTAGGTCTATACCTTTTATAGCACTAAATAATACTGAGGACTTTGCTTAATTAATATTTGATTCATTGATGTACACATAAAAATTGTTTTCTTGAAGTGGAATAAAAAAATTAGTGAACACCCAGAAGTGAGGTACCTAGGCACAATGCCATTTGAGAAGTAGTTAGAGGAGACGAGAATGTTGAACCTAGAAAGGAGAAGAAGCATGCTAGCTTTCTTCTAATGCCTGAAGGACTGTCATGATGAAATAAATATTTATGGAAGTTATAAGTACCCAGACTTCAGCTTAATAGAAGGGAAAATTAAAAGATATCTAGAGCTATCCAACATGGTATAATTATAAACTTCCCCAAACTGGAAGTGTAAAACAAAAGTTAGATCTTGAAGGAAAAGACTTCTGCCTTAGTGAAATGCTAGACTGTTAAGTGTTTTCTAACCCTAATTTTCTGTGATTCTTTGTCATTCTATGGTTCTTTGATAATTTTAAGGATCTAAAATTCACAATACATATTATGTGCATTAAGAAAATGAAATTTGTTAAAATCAGAATTATAAGAAACCTGAGGGTTTTGCCAAGTTCATTCTCTTATATTTAATTACTTTATTTTCTATAACTGGACTAAAATATGGAACAATTACTCAAATAACACAATAAAAAATGCTTAGAGCTGTACTGAAATTAATTCAACCACTCTATATAGTCCCCTTTTATACGGAAAAGAAAGACAAGCCAAATGGGCTGTGAGAGTGTCAGCAACCTAATACTGTATTATTCACAGATTTCTCAAAAACATTTTTTAAAGGTTCTATATAGTTCAGTACATACACTGCAAATTAAGATAAGGACTGAGACTGGTACAGTGGTGAAACAGTGCCACAGGTGTAAACACAGCAGCTTTTTGGAAAGATCTCTTCCTCAACATTCTGCTTAGCCTCACGATGGGCACGAAAGGCTTTTAGTGTGCTGTCATGGAGAATTATATGGAAGAAAAGAGAATGCATTAGGAAAAAAAATGATATTCCAGTATCAGATTAGTGTTAAAGAATATCAAGAATTAGAAAGGAAAAAAAATCTAATGGCAATGTGGGATGAAATGGAAGAATAATAAGAGACAAGAAAAAAATAAGGAAATATACACTATAACATTTTCACCATAAAAAATTAAAGTGTGCCCTTGCTTGTCTGGTTTTGCCACTGAAAGCTCACATAATGAGTGCTTACGATGTGGCAGGTTCAGGGGTAAATTCCTTATTGACTCATTCAATCCTCATGTAAACCTATGAGGTACCGACTATTACGTTCCCTAGTTTACAAATGAGGGCACTGAGGGACACAGCGGTAAGTACCTTATTCAAAGTTACACAACCAGGCAGGCGTTAAAATTAAAATTTGACTGACGGAGTCTGGGTCTAGTGGCCACACCCTTGACCACCATGTTATACTGTCATATTCATGGTTATCCCAATTGATTAAATTATTTCAAAACTTAATCGTTCTACTAAGTAACCATATAAAATATTGGAAATTTATTTATATATGCTTCTATATAACTTTTTCCACATTATAGATAACAGAATTATGTAATCCACTAAGAGTCAAAGTTTACTTGGTTAAATAGCTTGAGATATGTTTTTAGGGAAGTTTTTAACTTTTTTGACTGTTACCAAGAATTGAAAGAAAGCAAGAATGTTTAATTTGTAAGTAAAATTATGATCAGATATTAGGTACAAAATTCTTATTGAGTTTATAGTTATGGTACATTTTATAAGAAATTACATATAGTTTGAAAATAGCAGCAAAGTAAAATTTGTAAGGCAATTTATGCTATATCACATGTTAAAAAATGATTAGTTAAAATTTAACTATAATAGAAAAACTATTTCTACATGGAGAAACATACTAGGACTATTTTATCTCAGGTCAGGGAATTAGGTCCTAATTAAAACTAAGCTGAACTTAAGACCCAATATTTTAGGTTCTAAGCTTGTATATATGTAAAAGTCTTTATTAACTTAAATCTTGAAGTGATCTGCTGCCTCAGATCTATCCCATTTTAACGCATGAGGCATGCCATGAAACATATTTTTACCCTAAATCCACCCCAGATATAAAAGACCAGGAGATTAAATTAGGGTCAGGGGAAGGTCAGAGAGAATTTATAAATATAAAAAGAATTCAAAAAGGAATAAAGGTAGTAAATGGGTTGTGAAGTATTAAAGGGGTCTAGTATAAACCAGTTTGTATATTCAATGTTCCTAAAATATATAGGATATTTTATTGAATAAATAATCAAATACTCCTACTAAAATCACTTTTACTTATGCAACAATCTTTTGATGTTTGTGAGCAAAAACTCCCAAGAAGTTAATTTCTTATTTTTTATAGATTTATTCCATAATTTCACACTCACTTTGCTTTTCTATATAATAAAACTTTAATCTTCTATCCTCCACCCCAAATCAGTAACTTCTTCTTTATGCCGCTGAATATAATTTGTGGAGCTGTACACCCCTTCTAACAGGAATCAAAGAGTAGTAATGTTTTTGTTCTAGTAAGCCAGTGTCCTAATTATAGGGTAAATGGTGCATATTCTAAGTCACAGTTTAGCGAGTCAGTTAAGAAAAGCTTTAATTATTGCAATGTTAAACTATTGCCATGACAACATAGATCTTTTTGTTCTTCTTGTCCTTTTTTCCCCCTCTTTTAGAATGACAGTGATTAGTGCACATATAATTTCACACAAATATCCAACCAAAGTTCAAGCCATTTGACAGCTAATCATCCCATTCTTATCCTTCAAATCTAAGAGGGCATCACCCAAGTACTCTTCCAGAGAGGGAGAAACTTTCCCCATCTTACCTGGAACACTGAAGGTAACTAGATACAGTCAATATTACTTGACCCCACAGGAATATAATGTATTAATATGATGATTTTCAAATATTTACTACCAAGAGATCCTTTCCTTCAAACAAAATCTGAGGCCAGAAGTTGAATATGTAAGAACAGAGGTTTCCTGGTAGACATGTGGTCAGAATCTTGAAAACTCTGGAAACCAAGCCAATTTTTTCCCTCCTCTCAGAAAAAAATGTTTCAAGCCTTGTACATTGAGATGAGGTAGAAAAAATGCTGAACTGGAAACAGACTGAAGTTTGGTCCCAATGCCCTACGTAGTGAGAGCAACTTTGGGCAAGTCACTTAAATTGTTGGAGTTTTATTTTCCTCACCTATAAAGCAGCCTTTCACAGTTTTCATGAACATCAAATGAGATATTACAGATGACTGTGAAAGGTATAATTTTTTGTACTAATATTAAT